AACAGCAAGAGACAAACTCTTTTGAATACTCCTCCCTTCTCTTTCCGTAGGAAGATTGTCAGAAAAGACATTTTATTGTCCAAAGCATAATGGTTTTGCTTAGATACAAGGCACACTCTGTACAAGAATAAAGACATGAAAAATGCACAACAGATATTTGCAGTATGTTTTATAAACACTAAACTACATAATATTTAGAAGTGGTTGATACAAAAAAAAAAAATTTCTGCACACGCTGAAGGCATAGCCTTTACATTTGCCATTAAAGTGCTGTATTTTTGAGGAATACTGAATTTGGTAATGCAAAGAGATAAAGAACTAAGCCTGCATTTCCTTACAATATGTAGCTCTGTGAGATAATATCTGGTTACTGGAAGAAAAGTGTAATCCCATTAGATAGAATTTGTAAAATTCTGTTAAAATTGTATCACTTACTGAGAGCAGCAATTCTCAAGTGGAAGGCTGTTATTCACTGGAGGGCTCCAGAGAAGGCCAGTCCCCAGCTGCTAGCTCCAATTTGCTTTCAGCTGCTCAACTCTGTAATCATTTTTTTACATGACTATTTCACAACTGCATCTGCTGCCACTGCTCTAAACTCAGCAAGAAATGGGGAACAGTAGGACAAAAGTGTTTCTATAGTGAATCAAAGGACACAACTGCCCATGGAGGTCTTTCTTGAATAAATTATGGTCTACAGGGAAGAAGATAAGTCTCTTGTGAAGAGCAATAACCATTTTAGAAGTAGTTTCACGTGACTGCAGTTGGTACAAGTTGAGCAATTTTTGCAATCCCTACTTTCGGATCGAGAGTAGGGACACTGGGGTTTTCACTGTCTATGGAATTCAACTTGAGAATCCACAGAATAGTGTCTCGGTCCCTTAGGTGCCTCCCATTCTGGAAGAGAAACAAATCCAGTACACTGGTGTGAAAAAATAAAACCAGCAACTTTACAAAAAGAATGCTACTTTTATTTTCAAATGCTGTAAAAAGCCTCATATAAATTTTTTATAATGCTTCTATGTAACTTTCCCAACCACAACTAATGAAACAGTCTAGGAAAAATATAGCAGTTGCCATTTCGACTCCAAGAACGAGCTGCTGTAATATATCAACATTAAAAGGACAAGGTACAGTATGTTACAATGCTTGTAATTGCTCGTATTATTGAAAAAGTGAGAGCACTTCCTAAGCATTAGAGTATAACCAGGCTAAACTGCAGTATTCCCTACTTGCTGTCGCAGAGGAGGAAAGCCACCTCTTCAGAAGGAGCCGACACAACACCCTTTGTACTGCTTATGCCCATTTATCTTAGTCGTGTGGAGAGCTTTCAGCAAGCCCCTTTGCACTTAGGTGAATTCACCCACGTCAGATGCTATTGTTCCATACTGTATCCGACGGCTCAGGTGTTTAACAACTGACCTATAAAAATAACACTTATATAACTCTCCAGCAAGGCAAATTTAACAGTGCAAATGCAGTATCAACAATATTCGATTTCTGAATGCTGGCAATTTTTTTAACTCCTTTTGCACATGAAACAACCTCTGCTGATGTCCTGTACCTAAGGCCACTCACTCATGCTGACTGGAGATGGAACAAAGTGCAGCAGCTCAGCTGCATTTCCCAATCCACGCTTCCTCCCCAGTTTCAGGGTATTCAGATCCAGAATTTGGATTCAGGCTCAGCACTTCCATCGATGCACTCAAGTTTTCCCTGCTGGAATAGGTTAACTTCCCAGCAAACCTCTGATAACAATTTGCATACACAATTCCACGTTTTAACAGAAGTTAACAAAACATACTTCCAGAAAATAAATTTTCACATGGTTGCAATCATCAAGCCATTTCAGGATCTTTGGTACTCCAAGAATAAGAAAAATAAATGGCACAATGACAAACATCACCTAAGGAAAAAACACAACCATCCAAAGGAATAAGACAAAAATAACAAAACAAAAAGATATGTTGCACTTCCATTTTTTTGAAAGCCAGTGTAGGTTAACCTTCTGTTCTCTTTCATCCATTACAGTGTCACAGTTTCACCTTTAAAAAAACTTCGATCATCCTAAAAGCAGTAGTTAATATTTTGTTTAACTCGACTTATTGATTAAAATAATGCTATGTTTAAAAAAAAAAAAAAATCAACTACCACAATACAGGAGTTTATGCTAAATAGGCTGCAGGCTGTTTCCCTATGGATATAACTCCTATGTGAGCACTGATATGATTAATCATCCGCAATTTTAGGTATTATCTTTAGTGTTACAAATGTAAGGGTTGAGCTTTTTCCCAAGTTTGTAAACCAGTGAGTATGTACAGACATAGTTGTTTAATAGATAGATTTAAATTAAGTGTATATTTATCTCCCTTCCCCCAAACCCCACAAGAAAAAAAAAAAATCACCAGTATTACTGAGCATTTGCAGTTTCCATGAAACTTATCTTGTCTTAGCAAGTTCAAGCAAAGACTTCGTTTTATATTATGCAAATAGGGTTACTGTGGTCTTTTGAAATATGTTGTTCACAGGAATTCCACTTGCGGTGCACACAGTGCCCCATGAATGAAACTGGAAATTAAAACTAATAAAAATTCTCTTTTGAATAGCAGTGTCCTTTGAGGCCAAGTTTGCATCTCGGATATTTTCTGCCCAAGCTTCTCTGTCTTGGTAGAATGAATTGAAGGCCTTAGAAAAGGAAATTCCTTTTCTGAGAAGCCTCAGAAGCTGCTAGGGCACTGGCAGAATAAAGTCTGAAAGTGTAAACATGGATTTAAGCGAGTTATTGTTTTTGGACGGTCTTTGGATGGGTTCAGGTTGAGCTGAAGCTCAACTACATTGGCAAGGCTAAGAACAACACTGGAGAACTTCTGAGGGATGCTGCCCCAACAGCAGTAAAGGGGTGTTAATTAGTGTAAGGTCTGGGAAGAAAAACGGGGAGATCATTTAGGCAAAAGTTTAGCTTAGCCATGTTCTGATATAACACTGTATAAATTGGATGGGCCCTGAGGCACTGGCTACTCCTTTTGGATGAGCTGAAGACTAAAATTTTTGGTAGAAATGCAGTATAAATAACAGATATTAGATGCTTGAAGGGAGACAAAATATTGGAGGAGAGACATCACTGAAGCCCATGAGGAACCTAGTAGCTGTTGGATCAGGGAAGACTACATGCACATCAGAAAGCCACTGATGCACAGAAATCTTGCTAGTAAATGGTCTTTTATGCAGCAGATGAACACCCCAGTGTGTTTTTAAAGCATACAAATAATTCAGAACAGCTGATACCATGGTGCCTAACAGCAATAAATATTTCTGTAATGGCTTTATAAATAGTCACTTCCATTTTGCTGCAAAAGCCAGTCTAATGGAGTCTTTCCTACTGTATGCCAAAACAGTACTGTGCTTCACTCCGATGGGCGTTGCGGAGGTTTTAGAGTGCCTTTCACTTGCGTTCAGAGGAGGAAGACAGCAACAGTGACTCTGCTTGTTCAGTTACTGGGGAATTGTTCATTGCTGTAAAACTCTTTTGTAACCAGCAAATGACATCAAAGATCTCTACTGTGCTGCAATAGATTCCAAGTACTGCAGATAATATGCTAGTACAGGCAGAGATCTAGATAAATTTGCCAGCGACCAGATAATTGCAAACTGTTCGAGGAGTGCAATTCAGTCCCGAACTGCTGCTGGGCTGAGAAGCAAAACCATACCCTGGATATGGAGGGATTTCTGCTTCGGTTTCCTCAACCTAGGAGAAGGAGACCTGCCTCTGCTGTCAGTTTGTCACCATCCTGCAGACTGCGGAGAAGAGCATTTAGATGCTCTGCCCAACTCAGCTGTGGTTGGTTGTGGTTCCTGGAAGCTGGGCTGCAGACTCAGCTGATCCTTTGTAATCCCACGGTTCACATTAGATGGAGACACTAGAAGATGGAGCCCACAGGAGAGTGAGTCTAGCGGGGCACTCCACTTCCTCTAGCTTGGCAGAGGCTGCTATGGGGTATTCTGGAAAGTAAAGGCTAGAACGGCATCCCTTCTGCCTAGAACTTCTTCGGGAGACAAAAACTTAAAAGCAGCAATTTGATCACTTTTCTAGAATACTTTTTGCACAGATAGAAAAGGCTATTTGAATTATGAGTAGCAAAAAGATGATCTGCTTTACAGGAGAGGCAGGAACACAGCCCTGGAAACTCTGCCATCTCTTCAGAACTTGGTATCAGAAAGTTTCCCTTCTGTTAAGAATCTTTGTAATTTTTATTCAAGATTCCTGTTTTCTTCCAAAGCTGCCAGCAGGCATCATCATCTTAAATGGTGATACCCATCAACTATCATGTAAAGCAGAAATACCACTAAACAGGGACTGTCTCACCACCACACACAGTGGAAAAAGGAAGAAACAGAAGGAATGATCGGCTAATAAAGCCCTCCAGTGGGGAGAAGTGAGGGTAGGCAGGGTACAAGTAGGCCCACAGGACACTGCTATTTAAAATAATTCAGTGTTGCCACACTCATGGGGTATCTGCAGACCACAAATGGAACACCCTTGAGCAACTGCTCAGAGAATTTTGCAAGTGTGGGCAATGGTTTTTTTATACTGCGTATCTAAAACCCACCAGGTAAACAGTATAACAACAATGCTGCATAAAATGATATGTTTTACTCCTGGGTGGATTAGATGGTTTACAGTACAAACAAAGCCACAGTACAGAGAGGCATAATTAACCGTTATACACACATAGGCAGTGCAGTTAAAGGGATGTACGTTCCTTTTATTCCAGTACCTTTGTATAATAAAGTTAACAAAAATATTCAAATATTAAAAAAAAAAAAGCCAGCTGGCACTGCCAACTAATTCCTGTAGTAGTCTTAGAAATCCTAATCCTGTAGAATTTCCTTGTGAAATTGATGCGCACCAGAGTCAATGTATTGATAACTAACGCCAAGCGGGTCTGGTGATGCAGCTACCTGAGGTTTGTGTTTTTATTTCTTTTGTGGGTTTGTGTTTTGTTTCACAACTTCCCGGCTTTCATGTAGGAAGGGATCGAGCCACGCTGCGTGAGCCCTTCAAACCTCTTGTAGGTATAATTGAGGAAAACCCAGTCTTTGGATTTGTAGTCAGGTTCCGTTGTGTTTGGCACTAGAATTCAGAAACAAAAGTAAAAACAAAACAATTAAAACCAGCGCTGCTTCTGAGGACTTTGCACAGAGCACTGACAAAAGCAGCCCTGAACTCTTATTTCCCTAGTCAGCAGAAATTCCTTGAAGAAATCCTGTTTGTTATCAGGTCAGTTGCCTTTTGTCAATGGTCTGAGAAGAGTTATAATTTCAGCATGTATCTCTGAAGCAGAAAGTTTTTTCTTGTTTGTTTGGGTTTTGTTTTTTTTTTTTAGTATGTCTACACACCATAACAGGCTCCCATACCTTGACAGGAACCTCTAAAACACCCACAGGATATACAATTATGAGAAACGTAACATTTAGGATGCTCCATGCACAACAAACACATGTATACATATTGTGTTATCCTCACCGCAAACAGAAGAAAAAGATATATCCAAGTTCACCCAAGAGAACTACCCGTATCATGCATGCATTACTCTCCTAGGACTTCCTCCCTGCTTAGAGCTTCAGCAACGCTTGTACGGCCTCCTTTTATTTTACAAACAGCCCATATGGCTGACGTGCTGCACGTAGATATTCGCTGCAGTGGCCTTCTATATTTAGCTCTCTGGTTGCTGCTTTTAGAGTTCTATAACAGTATTTTCAACTCAAGATGCCAAACACACCAATATCGATGTTTGTATTTACATATCTAGATGTACAGTAACATTTTCAGTGGGTCTGAAATGCCAAAACCAATACAAATGTACTTGGCATTATCCAAATACGGACTTAAACAGCTTAACTTAGGCACTGGAGATTGATTGCTTTTGCATGAAAAGGACAGACTTCCTTGCCATTAAATAAAAGCCATTTCGGAAAAAACACACAGCTTTTTGATAATTCTTATGGCTGTTAGCACATCTACACGTATCTGTCATCAATTAATCCTTGTTATATATCTACCTATCTTTAAGCCATTAATAATTAATTGAAAACAGTGGGAGCTGGGAGAATTTGGCACGTCAGAGAATCAAGGCTTTTATGTATACAAATTTCCTACTACTTGCCAATAGAAATTAACAATTAAAAAAAAACAAACTTACATGATTTGCAGAGCCACTCAGGTTCATAAATCACTATATTAAATAATGATGTGTCTAAAAATTTTTGCCCACAAATATGTGAACATTTATGTTTGGCATGAAACTCAGAAGTCATTAAAGATCAAAAGCAAATCAGTGCATAAGGTTTTACCAGAATTTGGTTAGACAGACTGTATGGTAGAAAACTGTACTGTTTTCCATGCTCATTATATATGCAAACCATTTTTACTAATAGATGTAGCTGTTAAAATATGTGGGCTTTTTTTTTTTTTTTCCCCTCCAAAGTTCTAAGGAAGTAGAAAGTATGAGAGATCATAGGTTTAAATTTATATTTGAAAGAAAGTCTCTAGATCAGGTCTGTATATTACCTTGATTAGGGTATCAGAAAAATAAACAACAACAACAAAAGCATCTGTGGAGTATTCTGGCATGTCGTAGATAGAAATCTGGAATTTGCAATGGCAGTCTCACCTGGCTGTAAAATATCAGATTCAGGAAATTCATCGAAGTTGGAAGTATCATCAATACTTTTGATTTCTATAGGGATTGCAGCTGGTCTTTCCCTGCAAATAGAAATAAATGCCAGAATAGTGAATACTAGGAAAAGATATATTAAGTTCCAGTTTTGTTTAACTTAGCTTTTTACAGTTAGAACATCCCTTTAACTTAAAGCACAAAGGTTCCACTGAGTCCATCGGAGATGTATCTGACTCGCCTGTTTGCTGACATCATGGGGAGATTTATTGGTTTCCTATCTAGCATTAGTGTCTTCTTGGCAAACTTGGGGAAAACACAATTTTCCCATTAACTGAAACAGCATTCCACACTTATCTGCCATGTAGCTATCACTACGATCTTGGTTGTCACCAAAAACCACTGTGGTTACCTTCGTTTCGTAAACCCAGCCTACCCAGCCGAGCAGGATTTTACTTGCATTTGGAGCCATCAGATGTGTTGCTTTACAATTCCAGTGCTCATCAGCCTGGACCTCATCCAAGTACCTTTCGACTGTAGCTCCTATTTCTGACACTCAGTCACCAGTATCTCTCATCCAAAACGAGCTGGCTCTGACATGTTCCTGCTTATTAGCTCAACAATTAGGGAGCCCTTTAAGAAGTTTTAAGGTGGCTTTCCAAGTTGCTTAAGTGATCTGTCCCACGAAAGCATTCAAACTGGAACACGGCACTGTGGGAAAGTCATTAATTTACACCTGTAAATTTATTACAGGTGTAATTACTACAATTACAATTAGATCCACTTCTGGGTGGAACGGGGAAACGCAAATGTGGCATGAACAGATATGTTAGTGCTCTTGCTGCTTATTAATGTCTCCCACACTGAAATGTTAAGTTAAATGAGGCTTTCTGCACCAGAGGAAATGAGAAGTACAAGAACTGGACAATCACACGCCCACAGTATGGATTTGCATGTAGAAAACTACAGTATTACTGAAAGAACAGACTACCTCAAACCTTAAAAAGAGCTGAACAGTAACTTTCAGTTGAAATGATGGCAGATGTGGGGCCACCAGATTCTGCTCTGAAGGCGTTACCACTTTGGGTACGTGCAGATGTAGCTCAGCATCTGCAGGCAGAAGCTCAGGCTGGAACTGGTACGGCTGCCTCGCCCGGGCCCTCTACCCAGGCTTGGCCCAGCAGAATTTGGCCACAGGGGCTGTGACTTTGAGGTGAGTCAGTGCTTCTGCCCAGCGCTCTTGTAGACATACCAGTTCACTCAGGTGTAGTATCTGCAGCGTGCAGTAAAGACATGCCCCGTGTTTTCCTCCTACTTGCTGCCTCTCCTCTTCATTCATCTATTTTCCCTGCATTCTTGCAATAGAGTTTGCTTTTCTCATGCTCCTATTACAAAAAAAGTCAATTATAGCAGAGCCCATTACTACTGGAAGGGGAGCTCTCTGCTGATACTGGAGCATGTACATCAGGAATAACTCAGCCACCCTACCACAATTTCTGTCCATCCTGGGCATTCTGGGGCAATCTGAGGCATCTCAAGACAGTTAAACTCTGATCAGATCTATGAATGTCAGCAAGGCCTGAAAACTTTCCCTGTCATCCACCTACTGCCAGTAGCTGCCTTTCAAAAGAAAAGATAAATTGGAAATAATTATCCTTGACATCATAGTACATTAAATTCTTGCTTTCATGGCTTTTATTCTCTCTACAAAACGTGTACATATAATACCTGATATGTCCCCAGTCCACTCCTTCAAAAAACGGATGACTTTTTATTTCCTCTACTCCATTACTACCAATTCTATTTTCCGAGTCGATACAAAACCTGAAAAAGTAGAAAAAAATAAAGGGAATGTTACAATAAATGCAGACAGAAGCAACAGCAAATAAAACTGCTGTGGTATCCTGTATCACGAATTTGAGGAAGTTCTTCCAAATTGTTCCGTCACTTGGGGTAACGTAGAAGGAGCCTGTTGCATCTAGGAAAGAAGGGAAACAGTAGAAGCAGAATATTGTTAGTCCCAAAACAAAAAAAGCTATGATGACAGTAATTTACACCTTTTCTAAACTGTTGCATCTCCATCTTCAAGGTTTGTGAAAGGCTGTTGCAAGTTCTAGCCCTGTAAGATTAGTTTGGAATGGAGGCTGAAGTCCCTACCACTGAAAACTCCTCTGCATGTGCTCAACTATTTAAAATCCATGTTTCAAAGTCAAACTACTTTGAACAGATACACTTAGTGAAATAGGGCTCTCTCTGATGCCACATTTTGGAACCACAATGAGCCAGACACATTCAAAACATGCCATGTCACTATTCACCCTGTCACCCCCTCTTGCTTCTCCTTAGAGGTCCAGGTGCTGGTGGTACAAAGACCCAAGGCCTATTTCTGACATGGCCCAGCTGCATAACCTCAGCTCAGACTCTAGAAGAAACTGTCAGTTTATGAGAGGCAGCTGTGAGGAAGTCTGCAGAGTCCAGTAAGAAGAAAAAGGTGAAGTTGGAGACAGAGATCATAGAATCACAGAATGCTCTGGGATGGAAGGGACCTTTAAAGGTCATCCAGTCCAGCCCCCCAGCAATTGGCAGGGACATCTACAACTAGATCAGGTTGCTCAGAGCCCCATCCAACCTGGCCTTGAATGTTTCCAAGGATGGGGCATCTACCGCCTCCCTGGGCAACCCATTGCAGTGTTTCACTACCCTCATCGTAAAAAATTTCTTCCTTATGTCTAGTCTAAATCTACCCTCTTTTAGTTTAAAACCATTCCCCCTTGTACTATCACAACAGGCCCTGCTAAAAAGTCTGTCCTCATCTTTCTTATAAGCCCCCTTTAAGTATTGAAAGGCCACAATAAGGTCTCCCCGCAGCCTTCTCTTCTCCAGGCTGAACAACCCCAGCTCTTTCAGCCTTTCCTTATAGCAGAGGTGTTCCATCCCTCCAATCATTTTTGTGGTCCTCCTCTGGACCCTTTCCAATAGGTCCATGTCCTTCTTGTACTGAGGACCCCAGAGCTGGGCACAGTACTCCAGGTAGGGTCTCACCAGAACAGAGTAGCGGGGCAGAAGGATAGATAGGATTGTTGAGATGGGGACTGTTACCTGCTCAAGTAGGCAGGAGGAAAAACACCAACAAGGAAAAGTATAAAATCCTAAAGAAAAAAAATAGGGAGGCAGAAGCTCTCTGACAGCAACTCAGCGACATCAGGGATTTGTTCCAGGGAGCAGCAGAGGCTGACCCTTCTCCTCTGGACTGATGCCTGCCTGGACTGCTGCCCAGCTGGCTGGAAAAGACTCTGAAGTATCTCATCACGGAGATGGTGAGCATACCAATGCTTAGCCTAGGAGCTCATTAAATCCTAGCTATCTTTTGTATGTGTTAGCAAAGATATAACCACTTTATATTTTTACACTGTCCTTGCAGTCTCTTTGAGTATGGCAGAAGGCGTCAACAATGACACAAAGAGGGAGGCTTACAATAACAGGAGAAAATGCCCATTTCAAACAAAAATCTTGGTCTTGCCAAGCGCGGAGTCACCCGACGACCTCCTGGAAATGGGGTAGCATGGGGATGTGGGCCTCCTGTTGCTCTGGAAGTCAGCTGGACTTTGTTAAACGAAATTCTGTTTGCCTACATGAGCAAAGCCTCTGGTTGTTGATTTAATTATGCCAAACTCATAATCTCTCCACACGATCACATCATCCAGATTCACAAGGCACTTTTCACATCAGTACATTGCAATACAAAAAAGGTCACCTTCTCGCTAGTTAGTGAAATTTTCAGCAGGTAATTTAGTAACGTAGCAAGTTAGGCTATAAACTCTCTCCAATTATAGACTGTAATGTTCTTTTCCTTGTAGTTGAGTGTCACCTGGGAAAAAAAAAACCCGCTTATATTTCTACTGCAGCCCAGCCAGTTGGTTGATGCCAAGTACTAATAATAGACCTCAAACCTCATAACAACAGTTAGCCAGACCAGGTCTCAGGATTTGTCAGGCTTTGTCTGGACTTGAGCTTATTTTAGTTTGGTTTTATCTGTATCCATAAAAATAAAAAAACTTTAGCTTTGTCTGCAACTTCCTTTAAATTGAAATATATGTTGTCTAACTTGTCCAAGCTGTAATGGACAAAATACCCAATGGCCGGGTGTTTGTTGCCTAACCTGCTGTTTTGACCTCATTTTAGTAAATTGTCTATAACTAAAGATGTTTTACCCTAATTTAATCCTGCCATATATATATAGAAAAACTAATAAATTCAAATAGTCATTGTATAAGTAAATTCTTGAGCAAGACATGTTAACAAATAAACTGCCTGAAATATCCAAAAATGCCCCAAACACAGCCAAGACTGAGGAGGAAGAAATCCTCAGCAGCAACACTGTACTCTTTCCAGCAAAGAACTCGGGATGCTGACAACACACAGGAGAAGTTAAGCAGAACACTAGAGAAATAGACACTGAAAATGTAATAAAACTGTTATACATGAACTTATTAATGAGGACTAGCAGTAATTAAATAATTTGAACTGTTATTATCACTGTAACTGGATTAAGAATAACTGTTGTATGCGTTATGTTTGTTGTATGCTACTGGAGCACCGCTTGGACTCGTAATAAATTCTAGTTCTTGGCTCTGCCTATGAAGTGCATTCCCCTTTTTGCCTGTAACAAAACTGTGTACGCTTGTAATATTATCTTGGGGGGGAGAAATCAAAGCTAAAAACCATATCCCCCCAAACCTCCCAGGACAAAAGAGCATTTCTGCCTGACCTTGACACCAAAACCCCTTGCAAAAACTTCAATGCAAGCTGAATGGATTAAAAACTGTCATTTTGGAAAAAGTGAGTAAATCCAAAACATCCAAAGATTTATATTCAGCGCATTAAATGCTGGTGAGCAGTTATTTTCTAATTCCCTCTGAGAAGAGAAAAATTGTGCATTAATCACTTTTTTTTTTTTCAGTCTGCTCTGTTTCTCCTGATACCGCGGTACAATCAAGATTATTACAGCTTATTCCTTCATGTCAAACAAATGGCAAAGGGAAAAAGACTACAAAAATCCATCAAGGATGGTGACACAGAAGAAACCAACTTTCCCTCCAATCTAAAGCTTCCTTCATGCAGAACCAAAAGTTAACCTAATGGAAGATGACTTATGTCTGGGTGAGTGGCCAGAAGTGAGCTTTTGTCACTGACCTTAGAATTAAATCCTTTGCTTTCTCTGAAATGGGCACCTCTGGAGGAAATACCAACGTTTCTTTCCAGTTCATAACTTTCCTATAAGTCTCTTGTGGCGTTTCCGAGCAGAAAGGTGGATATCCTGCACAAACAAAGAGAAAAATTAACAAGCTTTTCTCAGAAGAGGAAAGTGACCTGGGCCTCTGCTTTTGCCGCTATGGCTCCCAAATCTAACAAGTAATACTAGCCAAAAGTTTTCTCTTTTGTAATGCAACATTAAAGGTTATTTTGTTACTTCCAAGTAATGAGATTGAACCTCAAAAACATTTAATAGTGCACAGTTATTCACTGAAACAACTGAGGCGGCATCTCTTGCTGTCTTCTTGGAAAGGTGGGAGGACTTCAGAGTTTTACAGAAGCTAAATTTGGGGCTTACTTCAGGTAGAACTGAATGAAATTCTGGTATCTCCACTATGCAGGGGATCAGACTTGGTGAACTAATGGACCCTGTTACCTTTGAACCCTTTGAGTGATTCTTAAGTTGGGATCTTTAACATACCTATTAGCATTTCATACATAATCACGCCCAAAGACCACCAGTCACACAGCTTGTTGTACCCAGTCTGCATAAATACTTCTGGTGCAATGTAGTCTGGGGTTCCAACAGTAGAATATGCCTGGAAAAAAAGAATAAACTCTTTAAAAGATAAATACTACACTTTTACACTTTGCAAAACCTTTTCCTGGGGATTCACATGTAGGATCTTGTTATTTGGATGGACAAGAATGCTTTATTTGAGAATTCACCGTATCTGAAATCCCAAGAACATTATTCTTTTACATGAGTAAGCACAGAGAACCTTGAAAGTAAATGGAAATCATCCTCCTAAATGTGATGAAATCATAGAATATTCCCACTGCAATATCAGAAGGTCATATTAGCTAAAGTTTCAGGTAGCCATATTACTAAAATACCCAATAAGTTCTGTTGTTGTTGTAGGTTTTGGGGGTTTTGTTTGTTTGTTTGTTTGTTTTTTTAAAAGGGATAACCTGTGGTAGATTCCCACGTGTGACACTCGTTATACGCTAGCTGTTCCATGTATTACCTTGTCTTTATTACAAAATTAACTTGAGCTCTTACTGGACCCAGGCTCCATCCTTTTAAATGTGCAGCCTAGATGATTCTGGCTAAGGACTAAATCTTGAGCTATTTGGGAATTTCTCTTTACTGATGGAAAATTTTGCACGGGGCAAAGGAGGAAGAAAAAACCAAAACCCAACAAAAAAACCACAAAACCAAAAAAGTCCACCAAAACCGGTTTTGCCAGAAAAATCTTTTACTTTCATTGGTCTGACCAGAAACAAAATACTTCATTTTATTGAACTGAGCCAAAACATTTAGTTTTGAATCAGTGAAAAAACAAGAATATGGCTCCTTTTCAAATAGCGTTGATCCAAGTTGTCATTTTGGCCTTTTGTCTCTGTTGGACTGTCTCATGATTCATCTAGCTTCACCGCACAGTTCTGCCACGTCAGTCTTTACCGACCTGGAGATGTAGTCTTTTCAGGGATGCAACTCCAAGCGGAGTAAGGGTGTGAAATACAGCCCTTATGAGGCAGCACGATTGCAATGTAATCTCATTATGTCTCATGAGGAAAGAAAAAACACCACCAAAGCTTTTTGGGAATACTGCAGCATATCACTTTTTAAACAGAGTGTGCAAAATAAAAAAGTTCCAAAATTTGAAAACTGAAGTTTTTGCAACTGCTATTTGGTGAAAATCACAAGCAGGGCTGAAATTCTGAAATCCCTTGGCTGACAGATACTTTCCTTTGATTCAGTTAATGCCAGAGCTCCCTTTATTTCTTGACCACTTTTCATTATAAACCCAGGCTTCAGCACTCCAGTACCAATACCCTCCACTGCCTTTCCATCACATTCCTGTTCAGCAGAAGGACAAACAAGTTTCTCCACAATTCTCTAAAAAAGGGCCACACAGCTAGACATCTTCTTGTGACACTGGACTTGTGACTGCAGGAATTAAACCCAGGTGTTCACACACAGTGTCAATACCAGGTCAGTCTAGGAGACAAACTCAAAATACAGCTTTGCTAAGCGGTTGCTGACACCTGAGGTTAGTCAGTCCAGATGTTCATAAGAGAATCAAAGGCATAGAGAAGAGCAGGGTCTTGCTAGTCACAGCTCTGAAAACAGACAGACAAAGCAACCCTGATCTCTGAGCTATTCCACAACCGGAATCACTGGACCACCTTCTTTTTAGTTATTTGCAATTTTGGGAGCTTGAAGAGAGCGACATCTGTAAGGAATAAGGGCCTTTCAAGTCTTTAAAAAACAGGAGCATTAATGCCAAGTTTTTATGTAACATTTTCTATAAATAGTTTAAAAGAAAAAAATAATTATATGTAATTTTATTAACTCACCAGCTGTCGCCTGTTCTTCTTCCATGTTTCTGCTTTTCTCTTCGAGTTCATATTCTGAAATGCTAATTTACAAAATAGTTATTAGACAATACATGCATTTGTGAGAATTAAAAGAAGATTGATAACGTTCTGTTTTCAAAGAATAACTGTTTTGTATCTTTAGAATGCTTTAGTCTAGAAACAAATACTTGATTATAACTAGAGATGGGAAAATGAATAACTACTGTCCAATATGCAGCTGAAACTCATGTAAGTAGGACACATGATCAGCAATTCTAAATTAGAATTTGCTAAAAGTTTTACAGATTGATCTGAGATCAGCAGCACTTACTATTGCAGCTGGCAACATATATTCAGATACAGGCAATGTTGTTTTAAGCAACAAGTGAAGAATCCAAGAAGAAACGCAGAGGAATTTTACATTTGTAGACTAAAAAAACTAATGTGGATGTGTCACAAGGCATGTTGAGGAACAACTTTACTCCTAAGAAAAGCTTCATGAGATTGTCACTGACTTCAGTAAGTCAGCACATGAAAGCTATGTCTCTTCTGAAAGAGTATTTCTGTAACTTCACTAACACTGTTATGCAAAATACATTAAAATATAGATACACTACATTATGTGTATTTGTATCTGTGTACAAATGTGCAAAAATACATTAACACTGCAGAAATCATCATTTCTTTCCTGTGAAATGCTTCCATGTCCTGGGGAACACGCATATCCAGTTTTCCAAGTAAATGCAACCAGCCTGACCAATCTTGCTTAACCCAGCAGAAATAAATTATGATGTGGCATAGCTGCAGCTCATAACTATTTAAATATTTAACTAGGACAGTTTATACTTACAGAAATCACTTGGCGGGTTGTGTGTAAGATTCCTGTAGAACTCGGTTCTGTGAGCTTTCTTTAAACCCGTGCATAGCCCAAAATCAGACAGTTTTACATGACCCTAAAAAAATCAGAGAAGATAAGAACATAAATTAGAACGACAGTGCTCGAAAGTCTTCATAACTGCACTTGCCTTCTCAGGCCATCATGGACTCGCACAGGACCATCTAATCCAGGACAAGTAGGCAAATAACGACTGAATCTTGATGATGTACTGCAAGAGTGTGTTTTCTCTCAAAAGGGTTCTTGCCCCCTGGGAATAGTTACATCTGCAATTCTGCAACTGCTGAGGGCAGCTAGTTTGCCTGGTTTTTGTTTTGAACTGGATACCGCTGAGACTGAGAATGCCTCCAGGACAAAATTCCTTTGCTTTGTTTTGACAGTAACCTGTTTTTAATCAGGTTCCAGACATCAATGCTAGATGGTCTCTACAGATTTGTGTATGATGCTTACTGGGTCCATTTCCTGGCTTGCTATAGTCAGTCTAACAGACGGTGTTTCCACTGGTGAGTGGGTAATAAAAACAAAACAAAACAAACCCCTGCGGGAATGGAACTGATGATTTAGCATTGTCTGAATGTTTCATGCTTTCATTTGTCTTGAAGTAACTAAGTGTATCAGTTTTTAATGTGTATGACTATGAGCATCTGGACACCCTAAGGGAAAGGCTTGCCTTAAAAGCCTTAAAAGGGTTAAAAGGCTTTCCAACAAAAAACAGGGGCAGCTTTGCTTTGTTTAAGTATACTAGTGTTCTACAAGGAAAAGAAAGTGACCACCTTCTGCCTTTACTCCAGCTAGTTTAAAGTCACCAGTGTGGCACTACTGGTTCCCACCGAACAGCACCACTATAATGGCATTATCTGCAGACTGAGATGTTTAAAGCATAGGCAGTTTACATGTACGTTACATGCCTTAGCATCCAGCAGAAGGTTATCTGGTTTAATATCTCTGTGGATGAATCCCAACTGGTGAATAGCATCTATGGCCAGCACAGTTTCAGAAATGTAAAACTGTGTCTCCTCTTCTGATAAGGTGTCTTTCTTCATTAGTAAGGTCATCATGTCACCTAATCACAGAGCAGAAAGTGCAGCTTAGAAATCAGAACATTTTAATCACAAGACTAATTCTATGTGAAACCCCAGTAGAATCCAAATTTAACCTTGTAACTGGCCTTATAGCTACTAATTATAAAACTATTACTGCAAGGACCTACAAACCCAACATACTTTTTTAGTAAACTGGATGTATAACTGTTGAAAATCCTAAATAGGAATTTTAACTGGATAGCCCAGGAAGATACAGTGAATTTTAATGCATAATACATGTATTGCATGTATTTACTCGCTCTGTGTATTGCATATATTTACTTCCTTCAGCAGTAAAAAGCAGAACATTGGATCAGAATAATTATTTAATCCAAGTCTATTTTAACACCTTTCCATAACCTTTCTCTTTCCCCTAAAAATCAGAAGTGGTTAGGTTACTGGGACTTCATTTTAAACAACATTAAAGTTTTTTATTGTAACAAATTACACAGCATGCTTGTTTCTAACATTTTATGAAGCTGACAGCAAAAGCTAAGGAAGAAGTACTTCTATCACCTAACACCACAACATACAGCTTACCTCCAGGTAAGAACTCCATGATCAGGTAAAGATTTCTTTTATCCTGAAAGCTGTAAAACATTTTCACTACCCAGGCTCCATCTGCTTCAACCAAAATATCTCTTTCTGCTCGGATATGGGCCACCTAAAATAAAAAACAAACAAACAAAACTATTATTAAAGGACAATTTAAATATTTCATCAAGGAATGCCATATTATATTCCTAGTCCTACAATATAGTTTCTTCATTAAAGATCATGAAAATATTTCTCATACTCTTTTCATATTTTTCATAGTTTTTACTAGATCCTACACAGTCCTCACAAAATACCCAGCAGAAGCCCACAGAAGTCAACTCAACATTGAAAATAACTGTTCACACAACTTGGCAGAAGCAGCCTCTAGAAACACAAAGCATAGCTCATTAGCTGTTTCTGTTTATTGGAAAGAACTGAAAAAGCTGGTAGAAGAGTGCAATTCCCTTTTTTACTATACCCTAAAATGAAACAGGAACATTCAAAAAAATTACAGAGCTGACCATCACAGAGCTTTATACGGTAGTGCAAGCTCAGACAAAAATTTAATGTGCAACTCAAGGTGCAAATACTGACAAAATTATTGGAAAAGGCCAGAGCTGGTCTTAAAGAATGCAAAACACAAGAGGTAAAATGGTAGATGCATTATGATTCCTGTCAGAAGTTATCAGATTTCTCATATACGTATACAAAGAAAACAAAAAACTAATAGCTACTTCTACACAGATATCTCACAGTTTAAACTTGGCAAGATAAGCCTGGGAAATCTTAGCTAAAAAGAGTGACAGAGTGCCTAAACGAATTACTTCCCGCAAAACCCCATTTTCGGGTTTTTGGTCAAGTGCCTTGGCCAAGTGGGAACAGGGCTGGGATGAGCGTCAGCCCTTACAGATGACGGCAGGTAGCAAACAGTTCAGTGGCCAGCATTAAAGCAGTGCAAAAATGGTAAGGGTCTTGGGCTATTTAAAGGGGGGTGGGGAAGGGAAGAGAAAATGGAGCCGTTCCTCCAAGTGACATGCACGAAGCTGGCCCAAAACTGATACAGCCACCACTGCTGCTGATGTTGGTCCTGGGCAAGTGAGTTTGGGAACATCTGACCTCGCTCAGGATATTCCAGTCCCAGCCGAGGTTTTGAAAAAAATATACTGAGAGCTGCTACCCCATGAATTCACTGGAAACTAAGAGTAATAGAGATTGGAGGAGAGGTGTGTGTTTCACTAGAACGTACACTCATCCTGAAGGAACATGACAGGAATAAAATGAAATGGAAAAATATTTCTTGACAGCTGTACGATTTTCATTATTCATACACCAGAAAGCAACTTCTGGAGAGGAAGTATGTACCACTATTCCAGCTTTGAGGGCTATCTGCAATAAGCAGCAGAGTTCTGCGTCTCTTCCCCAGTTCTACTGGCCAGGAGCATCTTTATGTCTGTGTCTGCTTTTCACAGGGTTTCATAGAGCAATGGGTTCTCTCTGTAGGAAACTTTGATTTATCTAGCTCTATCTATTCTTGTTAGAATTTCATTCCACCCTCCACTTCTCAATGTAGCTACAAAATATAGTATTAAAACCTTGCTTAAAACACAGCTAGGATATCTCCCAGAGCTATCAGGCTTGGGGGAAAAAAAAAAAAACCAAAACAAAACCCAAACTTATGTTTCTTGTATTTGTGTCCTGTGTTGCCTTCCATTGAACAAACCAGGCAATGAAAATTACAGCAGATAAACACTCTCCAGGGAAGATTACAGTCCCAAACTAAATGGAGAGTGTGAGCTCAGCCTCCTTGCCACATTGGGTTATGAAATGGGGGCAGGACTTCAACCAGAGGGCCACACACATCCTGGCTGCTGTGCAGGACGTGCTGCTCCTCTGGTTCCCTATATTCAGGGCATGGGATCAAGGAGACAAAAAGCCTGCGCCAGGAAAAAAAAAATGAAGTACAAGTAGGGAAATGTAATACAAGAGCAAATGATGGGTAAGGTTTGGACAAGTAAGGAAAGTCCTCTTTTATCTGCCCTTTTCTTGAGACATCCACACTTATTTCTTTGCTTTGTGGTGCCAAAGTACTTACTGTGTCCCAACAGGAATTTGCAGTGAATCGTTAACTAAAACGTAAAAGCAAAAACCAAACCAAACTAACAACAAGACAAGACCCGACTAAAAAGGAAAACAAAGCCAATGAACAATGTGACATCTGTTGGTATCTAACCATCAAAAGAAAACACCAAGTGCTCTCAGTTTTTACTTTGGCTCAGTATTACTTTGCAAGAAGCATTTTCCTTGAAACGCAGTTTTACAGATTAAGCACTGTAAGGTCTGCACTGATAAAGGAAGAGAGGAAAAAAAAAAATCTTTGTCACTATTCCAAATTGGTTCTAAATAAAACATTTTTAAAAACGCTGTTACAGAACCTTATTTCCTAACTTCTACTTATTCTTTTGTACTGTGATAGCAACTCCATAGATGCTTTGCACTGCTATACCATTACTGGGGCTTTCAAAGTGGAAAATATGACCAAATAGTATCTGCCACATAGAACTTCGGCAGTTTTCCAGACAGCGTGAGTTTGAAAGCTAGGGGGCTTATACAACACAAACCTGCTCTTTCTCCAGCATATCTGCTTTTCTTAGTATCTTCATTGCGTAAATATGGCCTGTATCCTTCTTCTGAACAAGGCGTACCTATAACGAGAAATATAACCCAATCAACCTTCTCTACCTCAGAAACTAGACCCCACCGTGAAATCTACTGGAAGGCTCAAAATTGGTGGGCATGGAAAAGTTCTTTTGTTAAACATTTAAAAACACATGGAAAAAAGAAGTATTTCTACACCATGTACAACACTAACACTAGGGATGAACACATAGTTTGAAGCAGTTATTGTTTTAAGAAAAGTTAGCAGGCACACTAAATTCCAGGTAGCTGTGAGATTGGTTACATTAAAAATTCAGGAGCAGATACGACCGTGATGTTACCCTGATCAGGGAGAATGTTTACAGAGAGGAGCTCTGCAACTGCAAATCCATCATTTCAGGGGGCAACAGGGGCAACATCACTCTGGGCTAATAGGAAGCTGTGGGAAACTAAGGGCCTTTCCAGGGACCTTGAGAAATCAATGCACATAATTCATTACTGGACTCATTACACTTGTACAGTTACTCAAATAGCTATTCTTCTGCAATAAAATTCCCCAGCTGGAACTTTTTATTCTGTAATTAAAATGTTTCATTTTAATGTTCAATCCAATTTCAATATCCTGTTCGAGCAAGAATGCCACAAACCTCCCCAAAAGCTCCTCTTCCTATAACTTTTAAAGATTCAAAGTCATCCAAGCCAAGTCTAGTCCTCTTCAGTCGCAGAAACTCTGTTTCTTTGCGAGCGTGTTGTGACCTGCGCAGTTTTTTCTAAGGAGACACATACACAGAAATTTATAAGTCATTTGACAGTAGAAAGTCAAGATATACCATCTCCCTCCCATTAGGAATTACAGAGAAAATGGAAAAGGAGAAGTCTTTCTGAATTTCTCGAAGCATGGTCTACAAGCACAGTCTTTTATATAGAGGCCTCAGGCCCAGTTTCACTTTTTTGGGGGGGTTGTTTTGGTTATTTTTATTACTTAGATAAAAAGAAACAGTAATAAAAATTAATAATAATATTAATTAAAAAATCATACTGGTTCAAACAAAGTACATCAGTCCAAAGGCCAAAGTCACTAGTGAGGCAAGGACTCTTGTTTTTGGGCAGTGTGAAGGATCAATAAAAGCTGAAACTTGCACCCCACCGAAAAGAGTGACGACAGGCAACAAGGAGCCTAACAGGCAGCAGAGATCCAACTTACGCTACCTATAGCAAAATCCATTTGGTTTAGGGCAGGCAAACACTCGTATTTGAAGGAAAAATCTGTCCAAATCCTGTCATATGTTTTTTTTTCTATAAAAACATCAATGGGATTCACCCTGAGAGAAGACAAACGCTGACCTATGCTCCCAACTGCTAGCGAGACCCATCGATCAGGCACCTGCCAGGTTTTGTACTAGGATGACAGTGCCATTTAAATCCACAAGATGGCATTATGCACCCACACTTGCTTTTCCCTCTCCTAGAAGTTATGGCAGCCACACAAACTCAGAAATGACTGAGGCACTGTTCCTACTTCTTTGCCTGCCTATCCTGCAGGCAGTACAGGCAGCTGTGGTGTGATGAACCTCAGAAAAGCAACTTATTGACCAAAGTTCTGAGAGGTGCCAACTGGACAAAGATCCCTCCTCATCCGTATCCAAACGGAGCAAGGGTATGCCCAATTTATTGTTTAAATCAACCAAAAAAAAAAAAAAAGGTTCAGGATTTTGCTTTCTACCCAGTCCTTCCAAGCGCATCTCACCTTTTTTTCTTGCCAAACATAATGGTAAGCAATTTTAATCTTTGAAAAGCATGCTATATACTTGCCGCGGCCACATGTCTCATGACTAAGGGTGTGTCATGGTTTAGTCCCAACCAGCAACTAAGCACCATGCAGCCGCTTGCTCCCCCTCCCCCTCCGGATGGGATGGGGGAGAGAATCAGAATGGTAAAAGTGAGAGGACTTGCAGGTTGAGATAAGAACAGTTTAATAATTGAAATAAAATAAAATAATAATAATAATGATAGTAATAGTGAAAAGGAAAACAACAAAAAAAAGCAAAACCCAGGTGATGCAACTGCTCACCACCTGCCCACTGATGCCCAGCCAGTTCCCGAGCAGCAATCGCTGCCCCTCAGCCAGCTCCCCCCAGTTTCTAAACTCAGCATGATGTCATACGGTGTGGCATAGCCCTGTGGCCAGCCTGGGTCAGCCCCCCTGGCTGTGCCCCCTCCCAGCTTCTTGTGCACCGGGCAGAGCATGGGAAGCTGCAAAAAGTCCTTGACTAGTGTAAGCCCTACTTAGCAACAATTAAAACATCAGCGCGTTATCAACATTATTCTCATCCTAAATCCAAAACACAGCGCTACACCAGCTACTAAGAAGAAAATTAAGTTTACCTCAGCTGAAACCAGGACAGGGTGGCAGGAAAAGCCTTAGGTATTGCAAGTATCATTCAAGTGTATTCACAGCTTCCCTAATAAGCAAGTTATTTACAGGGGCAGCATTCATTTACAAAATAAAACTTAACGTCATGCTAGCTAATGTTTCTGTAAGCTCCTCAAATGCCAGTTTGAAGTAGTGCGACAAAAGCAAAGCAGTTTCTTCAAAAGTTACTTAAGTAGCATTTACCTCCTCGTCTGCGAGGCCCTCCTCTTCCATAGCCACTTCTAGCTTCTTCTGCCTGTGAAGGGGAGAAACAGGAGATTGCTTTTTTTATTATTTATTAAAAACAAACGTAACACTACAGTGAGACAATGCCTTTACTTCACATATTCCAGATACCAAAGAATTTCCCTCAGATGGAAATTTGAAGACTTACTGTCCACTCCATCCATTTACACATTTGTGAACAAAGCTGTTGAAAATGTATAAGCAAATCTAAGCACATATTTACGTATTTGCAGAATTAGGCATTAAAGGTCCAAACATTTAATTACTCTAATGACTTATATTTCTTCATATAACCTTCTTGAAGTAAGGCTGGTTTTGTCATTTAGGATTACAAATCAGAATAAACATTGGGGTTTTTTTCCACCATTTCCATCTCAGCTATACCTCCAACACCTCAGCTAGCTCCAGCTGTCACCCCCAGTCTCAGCCTTGCTGACCTTTCCCTGGTCACACACCTGGTCCTGGTCCTGCTCCCCCTACCCTCGTGCCACCTCACTCTACCTCCCTGGATTCACCATCATCTCCTCCCAGTGTCCTGCCTGGGCCAGGGCTCACCAGTCCCAGGGCTCCTCCAGCTGGTGCCATGCCAGGCTGGGAGGGTCCAAGCAGGGAGTGAAGCCTGGGAGTACCCCACAGATGGCAGGGGGTCGGCATGTGGCAACGCGTTTCCTGGACCCCTCTTTTTCTGCCGGCGGGATGCTTCTTTATGACTGTCAGGGTGCAGCTTTCAGAAAGCTGGTTACACACTAGCAGCAGCCGAGGGTTCAAAGGCTGGGTGCGAGGCTGCTGGAGTCTTTCCTCACTTTGGGAAGTACAGCAGGATCCCCTAAATTAAAGGCCCTCGGTAGACAGTCTGTTCTTCTAACTAGAAGCAACTCAATTACATGGGATAATGACTAAATATGATGAAGAGGGAAACCCTGCTGCTCAGCTGAAAGCCCCTCAATTAAAAACATATTACCAGGGGAATGATAATTTCACATGCTGATGACAATTTGAAACACAACATTCATTACAATCAAATGCTTGGTGCTTTGACACTTAATTCAAGTAGCACTTCACCACATTGGAGGCAGAATTGGGCACAGATGAGAGAAGTTAAAGTGGAGATGACCAACGCATACTCTCATGCAAGGAGTACCAGTCAACAGCACCACAGAATAATTTAGAAGTGGGTATTACACTACCCCCAAAATTCTTCCTGCCTACCCAAGAGCTTCTCAAACCCTCCATCACCAACCCTATGCTCTTTACTGCCCCTTATTTCCACCTCAGGCCACCCCCAGCTCTCTGCCTCCTCTCCTTACCCCATCAACACTTCTATCAGTCCTGTTCCCTACCTCCTATACACTCCCTTCTGCAGGGTTTATGAATCCTGGCATGAGCTCTATGCTGCAGAGCATGAATAGACACCACAAGCCACTGCCTTACACAAAACCAAGTTACCACCCAGCAGCAGCTCTGCAGCATTTTCCTCTCCACAGTTTATTCCCTGCGGCATGCGCAGAGGAATCGGAGGTCACCAACCCCCCCCACAGAAGTGGAAAACTCACACGTGCTGCGAAATAACACCCTGCAGAGAATAGTTTCTGCGAAGTTGTAATAATCTGATGAGCAGGTAAATCATATGAGAACATCAAAAGTCAAGGTCCTTGGTCACACAGTGACTGCTTGGTGCAGTAGCAGAGGATGTTCACAGGTCTACCAGCACAGCCAGCAGCTGAAAGGTAGCCCGTGCCCTTCAGGGATTAGATTCTTGTTACTAAGTACAGAAAAAATTCTGAGAACTGCTCTGCGCACAGGGATCAAAGTGCCCTTGAACAAACACTGCCAAAAGCCAACCAGAAAATGCTGAAGAGGAGTGAGAGGAAGCAGAGCCAGTACCTGGTTTCTCTCTCTTCGTGCTGTATAATTAGGTTGCTGTAGAAGTTCTCCAGCGTAAGTTTGGCCACCGTCACTCTCTCCCGGGTGTGGTTACTCATGGGAAAGGATGTTGTAGTCCCTGCAGTCATCGCCATGGTAACATGTACTGAAACAGAGCATGTCAAATCATTACTCACTTGAAAAAAAATTGATATATATATATTTTTTTTTTTAATCCTCTTTCCCACTCTCCATCTCCAAATTCTTAGATGCTATAGAATTCACAAGGAATGCACTGTTCTTTAGATATAAGAAAGTCCATTAAAAAAGCCTGTATTATAAAATTATCCCCAGATAGCAGGAGGACTTACTACCCACTCTCTAAAAAAATAACAACATGTTGGCAAAACAAAGGGTGAATCATAGCAAAGAATTATGCAGGCTATGGGCAGCGCTTGTCCACAAATGAGGAAAACGTACCTCCGGCAGACTGGAGCCCAGCCTGGGGGAGGGAAGAGGCGGCAGAGCACAGAAAGGAAAGGGGGAAGCGAGAGGAAGACCAGGCAGCTCCCACAGCTGGACGTGTCACAACTCTAGGACAACTTCAGAGCCCAGAAACGCTAGGTGCTGCCAAACGGGCAGGGTAAAGTGAAAAAGTAAATGGACAAACCCCCTAATCCCATCCAGAGGAGAAGCTGTTTCAAGGACAGAAGATAGCCATTACATATCTTTGAATTGTAAAGACGCTCAACAAAATTACACGTGGACAATTGGGGGGCTTTCTAGAAATTATCCCATGAAAACAAAATAATGGAATCGCCATATTTTAAATGGAAAAATTCTGTTGCTGTTTTTCTGTTTGGTTGTTTTTTTAAAGCAACAACCAACCACCAAAAATAGAAAACCCTTCCCCGCCACAAGGCCATTAGGCAGCAAGTCCTTCTGTTTATTTCCTATTTATAATCCTTTCTGACCACCTCATGCTGCTGATGAAGCAAGTGTTTTCTGGAGCGGCTGGTCCTTGCAGCGCTCCCTGTGTTTGGATTCTCAGATTTGGGGGGGGGGTGTGGGGGTGTGGGTGTGATGTCTTCTTATGCAGCTGTAAGTATGTTACCATGTAAAGTACTTATAGGTCAGGGCACATGGTCACTGACCACTTAAAAACTGGGAAGAACGAACAAAGAAGAAAGGCCGCTCTCTTCGATAGCTTTCATCTTGAACCTAAAGAAGATGGATGTGCTAGAATAATGCTTTTAATGCTAGGAAAAGACATCTTAGGGCAGTCCTGAGTCCTTGCAGCTGATCTAGGGAAGCCAGGGGAGATTTAAAAAAAAAAAAGCAAGCACAGTTTGTCCTAGGACTCATGCCCTACCTGGAAGTGGGTTGAGGCACTTTAGGAGAGCCTCACGGACGGGAGCCACAAATAGCAGCATCTCAGCCCCGTGCTCATTTGTTCAGGTTGTTTTGGAGTTGGTTTTGGAAAATTACACAGAAGTACATACACTTCCTTTTGATTATTTACGTAATCCTTCTATTTCACCAGGGGATTTTGAGGAAGACAAATCCCAAATTAGGTTTATGATCTTCAATCCTATCCTAATACCTTTTAAGGTGAACCGATTAAAGGTTTCATACAGAAAAAAAACTGCATGTCCACATCAGACGGGAAGACTGCTTATTTCTGCTCTGGGTTTTTTGTTTTGGATTTGCCTGCTACCCCCTCTGAAGATGGTATTTCATCTCGTGGATTTTTAATTGGATTTGGTGCGACAATAAGATATTTGTTGCCAGAAACACAGCTGCTGTGTCACAAATAGAGGCGTTTTATAGCATTATGTAGATATTATTTTAGCTGTGTATTTTGGAGTGCGCAAGACACCAGAGTTCTGAGAATAAAAATATATCTTTCTATACATATACAGTGAAGTTTTAATAGCACTACAGCTGCTTCATGATGATGTCGATATTTCTATTTCTTAATCAAACTTTTATTCCCTTCAATTTTCTAATAAAGAAAGATGAGAGCTGTGAACTGTTAATAATATTAACTAAAAATTAAGGGGTTTATTCTTCACACAAACAACATGTACCCCATACTGGACACTTCTTGGAAAGCTGGAGAACTTGCCTCTGCTCTCCGTATTGAGTCTGTTATACAATACTACACTCTCTTTCTCCCTTGATAGGTGGGAAAAGATAAATATACAACAGGTCTCTGAGAGCAAAACCTACAGCACGTTGACACACCCAAATCAAACTGAGCAACTGCTGACCACATGCTGGCATCTGCGATTAAGTTATTTCAAGAAATGAGCTAATAGAGTAAAAACCCGCCTTCTGATCATTTTGGAGTGTCAGGATAGCATAGCATTAACCCAGGCTTGAAATGGATTAACCTTTACTTAAGGTATAACGAGTGCACTTCTAGCACCAGCAAGCAACAGGGTATTTATCCTTTGCACGCCTTGTATTCCTGGTAGGATAAAATAACACTGTAATTTTGTTTCCTGTTAATTTGTTTTCCCCATGCTCCTATACTCACAAATGCAGACGTTACCAAATAGCAAATCTAAGTCACTTGATTTTATTAAGCCTGTAAAAAGGAGATAACAATTCTGGCGCTAGCACGCCATGCTATAAATAGCAGGGCTGACCCTCACTGTGGTTCTACAGTAGGAAAATATAGATGAGAACCCAATCTGTAAGCTAGCGAGCCCAGATAAAGCTATTTAAACAGAGAAGAAACTTGTATCGACTTCACCATCATACCATGGCGTGAACCCACCAAAGCAGGAGGGATACATCACCAGAAGCATTTGCTTCCAGCACCCCATGTACCCCGCAGACACCCCACCAGCCCTGCCTCCGGACCACGCTGTACCACAGCATAGCATTTCCTCGAGACAGAGCTTACTTGACATTTGCTCAGTTTGCAACTGGTGGCCCCAGTTAGCTCTGTCACTGGGGTGTGTGTGTGCATGTGTGTGTGGCATCAACTTTATAAAACCAAGAAGCTCTCCAGGTTCCCCAAAGTAAGTGGAAAAGAGCACAGACCTGGCAGGGGACACTAGCTACCCCACCAAATCCTACGTTAACTCACAGCCCAGAAAACATCTTCATCCTTTTTCCTCCCGCCTCTCTGCTTCCACTAGCAAACCCCCAACCAAAGCACAAATCCACATCCCAGACAAAACATTCAGTTGGGAGTAACCAAGTAAATACCTTAAGTATGACCTTTTATAAACAAATGATGCTGGAGGGGATGGGGGGGAACTACTGACCTCAGCACATTAACTGGAACATTTTGAAAAGGTGCCACCCATAGTTCTTGGAAATGCCCTCAAAAAAACTACTAATTCACCCAAACTCATGCCATTTGCATAATGGAACCATTCTACTCCTGCTGCATCATCGGCCTTGCATTAGGCTCCCTGGACCCCGAAGAAGGTCATATTAACCAGCCAGATGTATTTGGCCTAAACTCCTCTGGCTGACGAGGACAGAAGACCTTTCTTTCTGAAGGGCCTGTTACTTTGGAAAAAATGATACACCACTGACTGTGAATGAGAGAGACATCAAACCAAGCTAATCAACAGGAGACACTGAGCAGCGCACAGCCCGCAGGACAACCTCTCAGAGCTGCCAGAAGCAGAGACACCGTATGTGCTGCTTGGCCCAGAAATCGAGCCTGGGCCTCTTGGACAGATGGCTGAACTGACAGCGCGAGCCTTTCTCCTGATGCCTGCTCTGCTCAGCAGCAAACACCTATGGTGTGGGCACAGGAGAGAGAGGGATGAGGAGCTACAGGTGTGGGGTGACCAGGGGGCATCTTGCCCCAAGAGGCCGGTGGGACAGCAGCGTAGCAGGGAGGAGACGAAGGATGTTCCTGAAGGACAAGGGAAAGCAGGATAGAGCAGCAGACAGGGGACAGCAGGCCCAATGCTAACAAGCTGGAGTTATCAAGAGTCTCCTTTGAGCAATTCTGTCCTGATCAACCATCTCCTTTCTGGTAGAAAAATGCTGCCTGGTCCAAGCATACGTTTGATCTTTTTATTCCCAGATCTTTCCTGGTTGGGAAGCAGAGAAAGGCCAAGCAGTGTTTACTACAACTTCAGTCTGTGCTCCCATCTATCACAACAGCACCAAGTCAAACCCTTGACCGATTTTCCTGAAAGCATTTCCACTGGTGAAAACGCCACACCCAGCTTCTGCTATGCAACTGGTAACTCAAAACTCACGTCCTCTCCAGGGTGCTTTCCTTGGCAGCTCCCACAGTCCATCATTAATGTTTTCGTGTTAGACTACTGGATTCAGGCTCTGGTTAATCAGAGCAAAATCACTGAGGCATCCAATCCCACCTGCTATGACAACTCAGAAGAGGAGAGATGGAAGAAGTCAAGGCACCTGGAGAACTGTTCTCCCCCGAAAGAAACACTTGGCACCTTGCAGGATCATTTTCTAATCAGGAAGGGATGAGAACACAAAATCCAAGCCTCTCGCACATCGTCTCCAGCCTCCACAGCTCCATCTTGGGACATCCATGATGTGCGAAGAAGAGAGCGAGCACAGACCTGTCGCTTAGCAGGAAGGAAGGATGGAGGTTTGACACCCTCAGTAATTGTAGAGCCTTTTTCTACATATCCAGGTAGCTCTAGACTTTAAAGAGAAAAGGATAACAAGGGATGAAACAGGATCTCGACACACATGTGCTGCAAGATCTCAAAAAATTCGCTTTATAACCCCATGGCATACTTTCCAGCCTGTAAAATGGAGCAACAGGACAGGGATATGGAGTAGAGAGCATAATCATAACACTTCACATCACCAAATGTCTGAACTGTAGTGGTGGTGAAGATTCAAATACTTCAATAGGAAAAAGAAAAAAAAACAAAAACCAAAACAAAACACAAAAACCAAACACCACCACACACTAAAAAACAATGTCCCCCCCAAGCAGATAAGTTCATCATTTCAGATCCTTCTAACATTCTTCCAACCTTTCGCATTTACTTTTTTAACGATTTCTCACTGAAGTGAGAATATAACTGTGAGACTATGCTACAAGCAGTGAAAACTGAAACCAGTCTTTCCAGCTATCTTCCTTATTAGAGGATTTCACATTTCTCAAGATACTTCAGTAAGCTATTTGATCAATTCTTGCTTCCTCTTCCACAGATTGCCAGCAAAAGGGCAAGTCTGTGCCAGTTAGACAGTGGATATCACGACTGGACTTCACTTCTGTAAGAACGGGTCTGAAGGTGCCGGTCTCTTTACAGGCAAGTCTGCTGCACAACTGTGTTACATCACATAGCTTGTTCTTACTATCAAATAAGGCTGGATCTATACCATCAAATTAATCTGGACCTAAGTGACACAATGGAAATATTCTTATTTTTGAAACATGCGTGTAGTATAAGTATACAGCAGCCCTAGAATAAATTTACTCTGGACTCATTACTTAGTGCATATTTAAGTTAGGGAGCAAACACCACATACAATTCTCTTGGAGAGAAAAGCACGTTTTTTACTGCATCACAGAACGATACTACTTATGTCGTGCTGCTGGGTCTCTGATTTGGATTTAAAACGTAAAGCTACATCCATTTTCAAACACCAATCCTTCCTCCCAAAACAGCTACATCACTTCATAGAAAGGCCAATAATAATTTTCATTTATACACCCAAGCACACCCCTAAAGCCCAGCAATTAGGAAGGCAGTTCACTATTGCAGCAAAAAGGGTGAAACTGCGGAGTTTATAAAGTTTCCATGTACATTCCAAGGGAAGCTGGCTCTTGAGTGAAAGCCTCTGGGTAAGGCAGATACCAAAACATATTTCTGCTTTTCAGAGTTCCCATTTTCTTGGCACGACACATTTTGTCATTCAACTTGCTCCTGAAATGAAGCAAATGGCATTTTTCAAGAATTAGAAAGTAAAAGAGAAAGGAGAGAGAGGCTTTCTGTGCCAGACCTGTTCCAAAGTAAACGCATACAGCTCAATAAAGCGAGTACCTTCAGAAACGCCAGCTATCACCACCGTGTGTAGTACTGGAGCTCTTCTGGGTGAGAAGCTAAAGCAGACTTAGTAACACTGCTTGGCTCCTTACAGACAACAGAGCAGACCAACTCGCAAAACTGGGCACTAAAAAACCACCGGTGACAATGATCATATTTAAAAAATTAAGTGCTATCTAGGAAAGAAGCCTTGCTGTATCCACGCTGCAAGTATGAGTGCCAGCCCTGCTGTCTCCAAATTGTTTGGATTCTCTTCAAGAGAGACAGCAGATATATATATGTGTATGAAAAAAACCAAGCCACCATACACAAATAACATCATGATTCACACCAAAAGGCAGTGAGCAGGGACAGATAAATGAAATAAGCAACCAAGGGCTCAGCAGGACGAGGTGGTATGACACACCAGCAGGAGCGAGGGGAGGAGCAGCAGCTGGAGCAGCAGCCGCCCAGGCACCCTGGGCAACTCCTGAAACATGCAACTGTACGTGGTATGAGCTGACGTGCAAACAAAAAGCAAAAATAAAAATGTTGTACAACAGCTGATAGCTCCAGTGATGAAACAGAAGGAGAAAGCGGTCATACTGCGGTATCAGCCTGGAGGGAAAATGACTTTCTGCGCTACAGTTTCTGCTAGCACAAATCTGGCAACTGCACTATGCGTATTGTCACCATCCAACTGTTTATACTGAACTTCCTCGTGGAGAGGTTCCCTGCCTTCATAACCCGCTTTAAATCCACTTCCAAAGCTTTTGAGAAACCTCCACAAACAAACAAAACACTACAGGATCCCAAAGTCTCCAAGCAGCAAGCAAATAAGAAAACCCCACTACTCCAATCTACATCAAATATGGGCCGATATTTTTCAACTCTTGGAGCCTGATCTTAATACTTGTGTTATTAATAAACAAAGATTTCCATGTTCAGAACAGAGCCTTGTCCAAAGTTCACTTATACCAATAAAAAACCCACAACCTTCAGCTCAATAGGGTTTGACCTAATATTCCTATTCTTGGCATCTGCATGATGCTAGCTGTGCTACTGCTGTTACTGAAGTTCACAGTTACCAGATCAGCGTGTTTGCCAAGCACTGCTCTGGGGTATGTTTCAGAAAGAAAAATAAATATTATGTTCCTACATAATGCATGTTTTCAGTAGTGTCACCATTCACAAGCCCCTGTTTTATTTAATATGCTACCTGAAGGAAGCAACATTCCCTGCCAAACACAACAAATCAGATACTTCACACACAGATTCTTCTTCTTCGACGTTAGTGCCACGACCAGATCTTTCCAACACCCTCCTGTTTTCACAACGGTCCCCATCTGAGAAGGGAAAACGAAATAACAAGACTGCAACAAGCTGTCACTGACACTTTAGCATTATCATTTACCTCATTTATATACTTCATTTCCTCTAGTTTGTTATTCATTCCCCAATGTGTGTTATGTTCTAATAAGTTTTGCTACTTTGAAGTTACAGAGCGAATTACATCTGTTCTATTTAAAGTAGCACTAAGAAACTGAGTAAAATTAGCCCCGTCAGAACAGGCTTTGCTATTTAAAAGCAAAAGATGTTCAAACGTTTTAGCCATTTTAAGTCATTCTTGCTTTCCCCATGGAGCGCCTGGGTAAGTCGCCCGTTATAGTCACAGCTAAAAGCAGAGAGCGCTCCGTGGCTCACCCAGCCCCAGCTTGTAAACCAAAAAGAGCGGACGCTCCCAGTGCCCTGCCCCCACGACCGTGAGAAAACCCCGAGGAGACGTTCACAGGCACACAGGACTTAGGTATGGGAGCGCTGCACGGGTCCTGCAGCCTCAGCGGACCGATGACACCAGCGAAACCTGGGGGACTGCGAGGCCCAGAGAGCAACCTGGGGTGCCAGTGGCCGCTCCGACATGCCCCCTAAACCCCAGAAGAGCTTTTCACCCAGTGCACCCAAGCAAGAGATGCTTTCAAAGCAAAGGAAATTACTTTCCTACCTTGGGGTAGACTCCTAAACCTGTAAATACCCCAGAACATAAAGGAGGGGTTCTGAGTAGACCAGGCAAAAAACCACACCAAAAAACACCAACCACCCCCTCCTCAGAAAAGGCCACGGTTGTATGCACACTGTAAGCTGGCATTAGCCAGTACTGTTTCTGAAAGAAGCTGTCCCACTTTCCATCAAACCATCTGTTTGTTTCTCTCCCGCTGCCACCCGATGCTTTGTGCCAGCACAAGAAGCTGCGTAACCCAGATTGAGGAACTGCACCGGGCTAAACCAACTTCCTTTAAAACAGCTTTGGTGAGGCTGGTTTCACCTGTATCGATTGCAAAGGGCCACCCCTCCTCAGGCTGAGCCTCTTCGTTCCTTCCCATGGAGTTTGTCTGAAAGCCAGAAGCAAGCGACAGGGCCTCGTCTTTTCATTTGGCTCACAGAAATTAATCTTACAAATCATTCCAACACACCCGCAGTAATGATAAGGAAATATTTCCTAATATGGAATAAAAACTGAATATTGGAGTTGTGCTGCACTCCAGGATTTCCTGCTATTCAACGAAGCTGAGCAGCAGAAGTCTCCCATGAACAGCGGCCATGATTCACTTCTCTGCGACTTCCAACGAGCGGCAAGCACGGCTGACAAACACAAATTTGTTTCCCTGACAGGAAAAGATACAGGCTGAGTGAAATGTATGCATATACAAAAATATATATGTTTATGGGTTGTATAAACGATGTATATTTACACCTATATAAAATACATGTGCTTTGTTTTCTTCCTTTTAATCTTTTGTCCACTTCAAGTAGCAAACAAACTTTTGATCCAAACAGCATAACCTTTGCTTTCACTAACAATGGGAGACTGGTCACCTAAAGTTTAGAAACACAAACCCACTAATAAGGTCACTTCCATCTCGGCTCCACTTGCCTCAGCCTTTGGATACAATTACATTCTTTATGCTCTGCTATCAATAGCTCTGTCCCCAAGTTAAGAGTACGTTTTGAGACATCCTGTACTTAGCCCACTCACTCAGCGTTGAATGACTTGCGATGACATACCAAAATCTTCGTGAGCTCAGTCCTTTCAAATAACTCGTTTTATTTTCTTTACAGAAGGGCTTTTTAAGACAATCCAATCATTTGGGTTTTAGCAGTACCCACTCAAATTGCTTTACTGTGCATGCGTGTGTCGCTGCAAGATACGAGCCCCCTACCTAACCCATTAACCTCATGTAGGGGAAGAGGAGAAAATAGAGGTGGTACTTCTGCTCCATCAGCAAGGACAGAGGGCTAGAGCTAGAAACAGGAAGGGAATAGAGGTGCTGCTGTATCCACACCCTGCTCTGTCTTCCAAGGAGTGCTCCAAATGGGAGGTCAGCTCAGGACAACACCCTGGGTGACTAAATGAAGCACAAGACACAACGAGGGAACTAGACTTGCAGCCCCCACGCAGCCGTCCCTCTCTTCCAGGGTTTACCACGGCATCTGAATTGATGCATTTTAATTTATTGGCAACAAGATAAATCAGTAGCTTGCTGAAAAGCTTACAATGCTGTGCAGTGAAATGGCATTTCATAGCTTGCTTTAGCTTACTTGTATCTTTCCTTTCTCCTGGCTCTCCCCAAGTTTCACAGTGCTGCAAATCTTTGTCCTCTTACAAGTGTCTAAAAACAGGAAGCTCTTCTGTCTACTGAAGTAATTGCATTCCTGTGCACTTAAGCATTTTCTCAGCTTTTAGCAGGCACTTGCATCCAGGCATATTCAAGAAAACATTGTTTTAAGATCTGCTAAATTAACTGGCATAAAAAAGCCCATGCTAAATATTTTGCAGCAATGTTTTGGATCAGGAAATAATTACGAACAGAGCAAGGTCAATGACCAAAAATCTGCTTCCTCCTCAGTTACTGGTTTTCTGGATAAAATTATACTCAGGTCTAATGAAAGATACGTCCCACTCCAAAAACACATACAACTGTCTAAAAGTAAAATTCAGTCACAGCGGATTTCTCTACATCTGGCTCTTTCATGGCCAAGAGAGACAACTTAGTGCAGAAGTAAAGAGGAGGAGCTTCTACCATGGCACCTGCATAAAGTTGCCTTGAAATTGTAATACATTTTCAGCTTTGATCCAAGAAACTCTACTCTCGAATTTTAGGGATGCTGTAAAGCCTTGCTATTTTCTAAGGAACCTAGGGAGGCAGGAGCAGAGGGGGGCTTCGCCTTTGGGAACTAAGAGGGATTTTTGCATTGGAGAATGCTGGAGGAGAAGAGGGCACTAAGTTCATTTTTCCTTTTACTGGTGTATGTTCAAAACTCCAACTCTTGCTAGGCTCTTTTTAGATCACCGCAATCAAATTAAGTATAGTAATTACAAATTACAAATGATAAGTCTGTGCCAGCAAAGGAGCTGACCACTAAATGAGATGCAGAACATCAATGACTGGCTATGGCCTGTGCAATGCCTGTAGTCAGGGTTAATGAGCACAACAGATCCCTCTGGCCTTAAAAAGCTGCAAATGCAGGTAGTGCATCTTGTTAGTATATGCAATACTGGAGAGCAGATGTTTGCCCATTCAAATCCCACTACAACAGTTCATTTCTTTAACTATGATTTTTGGAGAAGGAGACAGCTGTTGGCACATAAAGCAGGCTACCTTGATGAGGCCCAGGATACAGAGAGATGAAAAGACGTGTGCCGTCTCTTGATGCAAGAGAGCAATACATGGTACCATCTTCCTAGTGCCTGAAGCTGGGAAGCATATTTGGAACGGTGGGGATGGAGCTGTGCCATACTCTTACCGCCAAACCATCAGGAGCTCTGGCCATTGGTACCAAAGGTGGAGAAAGAAATATTATTTCATGAAGGAACCATGATGGCAACATCTGATCCCTACAGTGATAACAAGGACAACGGAGAAAAGATTACCATTCTGCCTTATTATCAGACTGGTTTAGGGGAGAACAGTCAATACAACCACAGTTTTGCATTTCAACATTTATATCACTTTGAGAACAAAAATACACTGCAAGTGGGTAGCTGGGGCTTATAATTCTGAGATTTAGAGGTTTAGGTATAGAGGAAAACAGCTCTTTCAGTGGCAAACTCACAGAGCCTCGCCTTCATGAAATCTTGAGTCTTCCTGCAGCCTATTGCTTAACATCCCAACTGCCCATCTCCTCTAGGGCTAAAGAGTGACGAGAGCAGTGCTTTGTTACGGATATGTGTATATACACATGCTCCCTCCTACACAATCACATATCCACCCTTCTAGGAAGATAACAGAAAGGCAAAAAGGAAAAGGAAATAAAAGATTTGCACCTAGGTGAAAGATGATGAGGCTTGTGATGGGCATTAGTTCCCTGTGGAAGTTCATTCTCCAGTCTTGGCCTGGGAAAGCTCACTCAAAATGGGTGGTGTTTTCCTCTAAATTAATCTCAGAGATTTGATTCGATTATCTGGTTTCCTAGTTAAAGGACAAGAGAGGTAAAAGCAGGGTGTGGACAAAAGCTCTGGCTATATCCAGCTGCAAGAGAAAGCGAGAGGGAAAAGGAACAGAGGATATCTGTTTAAGTATCTAAAAGATACTAAGGCTGTACGTAGCTGCTATGCTACAGTTAAACATGCAAGAACGGGCCAATTTCCAGATTAAAAAAGTAATAAAGAGGCCAGTTTCATACACTTTCAAGATTAAATTGATTATGGCAAGAGTAAGAGAACAAGACGACAATGTCTCTAGGAGCAAACCTTTCCCACCAAGAAAGCCTTCAGAACAATCTTGTAGCATGTCCTGAGGGCTCAGCATGCTCTCAACTGAGAAAAGGAGCAAGACTCATCAGTAAGAAGGACTCTTGATGGAACACAGGTCACCTCATACACAGGTACAGGCTTTACAGAAAAGCAGAAGGAAAAGCAACACTTGGGTTCCTGCAGAATGGCTCTCACTGTTCCTTTTCAAGGTGTAAGTTTTTATTGCCCTATAAGGTGACTAAGTGTCATTGTGCCTCTATTTCCTTATCTGTCAAGTGGAGATGAAGACAAGTGGAGTTACCTGCAGGAAACTCGAACAGAAATATCAGTTTAGTGCAAACAATGTGTAAAGATGGAGGCTGGTGGAGTGGCAAATAAAGGAGTCTTTCAGGCAGCAATCTGAATTGCTTGACAAGTTGGATACAACCAGCTATTTCCCATAAATAGTAACCAGAGAAAAACCCAAATAAGCCGTAGGAAGAATGAGATCATTTCCACTTTGAAATATTATTTAACGTTAACATTTCCTTATGGGGATGGGCCCCATGCACAAGGCCCTTACACAGAAAGGATAGACATTGCTGCCAAGTTCTG